CTGATACAATTCAAAAACTAAAAGACAAACAATCCAATTGAAAATGAGCCAGGACTTGAATAGACATTTCTCCAAAGAAGATGTACAGATGGCCAATGTGGAAAGATGTTTTGTGTCATCAGTCACCAAGGAAATGCAAATCAAAACCACAATGAGATACCACTTCACACCCACTAGGGTGGCTATATATTTTTTAAAAACAGAAAATATCAAGTGTTGGTGAGAATGTAGAGAAGTTGGAATGCTTGTACTTTTCCGATAAGAATATAAAATGGTGCAGCCTCTATGGAAAATGATTCCTCATTTCCTCAAAAAGTTAAACATAAAATTCTCACGTGACCCAGCAATCGCAGTTATAGATATATATCCAAGAGAACTGAAAACTGGTACTCAAGCAAGTATTTATACACAAATGTCCATAGTAGCACTGCTTACAGTAGCCGAAAGGCACAAACCACCCTAAGAGATGGGCAGAGCACGAGAAGGTGGTACACACTTACAGCAGCACATGATTCAGTCATAAAAAGGAGCGAAGCACTGATTCAGGCCGCAACACGGACGACCCTGGAGAGCATCAGGCTGAACGGAAGAATCCAGACACAAAATGCTACATGCCATATTTCAAGCAACAAATAGTCAGAATAGTATCAGGTTATAAACCAAAATATGAAATAAATGCCCATGAGTCTATACTGATATAAATGAATGACTGGATAAAGAAAGAAATGAGTAGGAAAGACAAATTTTCCATGCAGAAGAACTGCAAGTAACTTAACTCTATATGTCTCTCAAGGAGGGAGAGTATGACCCTTAACTGTGGGTTGATGTAATGACCGCCTTCCAGAGAGGACAGTGTGGATACAGGAGGGCGATGTGACAGAAGCGGACTCCTGGCCTCAGCCCCGTGGTCAAGGTCAGCAGCAGTGGCGGTCCTGCTGACGGTGTGGATCTAGACACACGTGATGAGAAGGCACTTTATCTCTGCAGTCTTCCTCCCAAATACCCATAACCTCAGTGTAATCGTGAGAAAAACATGAGACAAGCCCTAATTTGGGGACATCCTATCAAATAGATTGCCAAACTCCTCAAAGTTGTCCAAAAAAGGGGGACATCCTATCAAATAGATTGCCAAACTCCTCAAAGTTGTCCAAAAAAGGGGGACATCCTATCAAATAGATTGCCAAACTCCTCAAAGTTGTCCAAAAAAGTATGAGAAACCCACAGCCAAGTGGAACCTGAGGAAACATGACAACTAAATGTAATGTGATTCTGAATGGGACCCTGGTACAGAAAAAAAGACATTGGGTACAAACTAAGGAAATCCAAATAAAGTATGGACTTTGGTTGATAATAATGTATTATACTGGTTCATAAATTGTAACAAATGTACCCCCACACTAATACAAGATATTAGTATTAGGAGAAACTCTGTATGGAATGTATGGGAACTGTCTTACTATCTTTGCAACTTTTCTATAAATCTAAAACTGTTCTAAAATAATTTTGAAAAATTAAGGACTTCTGTTCATCAAAAGTCATCTTAAAAAAACTGAGAAAAGCTATACACTGGAAAAAATATATTTGCAAAGCATTATAAAAATAATAACATACTGATGAAAGGAATCAAAGATGAACCAAAGAATAAAGAGATAGATCATGTTCATGGATTGGAAGACTCAATATTGTAAAGGTGTTAATTCTCCCCAAACTGATCTAGATTACATTCAATTCCAATAGAAATTACAACAGGATACTTCATAAAATCAACGAGCTGAATCTAAAATTTATGGAAAGGCTAAGGAACAAAAAGAGCCAAAACTATATTGAAAAACAAGAATAGTCAGAACATTCACACCAGCTGGTTTCAAACCTATAAAGCTGTTGTAATCAAGGCAGTGCAGAATCAGAGAGATGACAAACTTAGAGACAAACGGAACAGAACAGAACCCAGAAATAGACCTGTGAACACAGATAATTCACCAACACAAGCCCATATTCTCAAGCATAAAATGAATCTCACAGGGTTCAGATTTATGCCAAGTGTGCTCTCTGATTACAATGAAGTTAAAGTAAATCAATAACAAAAATATCTCCAGAAAATCTCCAAACATTTTAAAATTTTAAAACACTTCCAGATAACCATGGTCTACCCATATAATAGAACACACATTCTCAAAAACATGCTGACAGAAGTCAGACAAAGAGGGGATATTGGGTGGCTTCATTCTGTTACAGTCTAGAAAATAAGTAATCTGCGAAGAAAAGACTCAGAACAGTGTTGCCTCGAAGTTGGGGGTGAAGGGTTGGCTGGGAAGGAGCATGCAGGGTGCTTCTACAGTGAAGGAAGTTTGTATCTTATGAGGTGCATGTTCACGCATCTGTGCATTCATCAAAACTCATCAAACTTAGCATCTAAGGTCTGTGCACTTCACTGTGTAAATTACACCTCAATAAAGAAATTTAGAAGAGTGTATAAAGAACGCCTGCAAGTCAATAAGTAAAATGTGGAGGGAAATGGGCAAAAGACACACACACACACACTCATAGGCATCTCACAGAAGCAGAAACGCTCATTGATACTAACCATACCAAGAGCAGCAGAGAAAGACAATTCATAGTGCAACACTATTTTTACCCTCTCCACTGGCAGAGATTAGGAAATCCACCACACCATCTGTTGGAAAGAATGTAGTTCGATTGTAGGAGGGTAAGCCATACAGCCACGCTGAGGAGAGAACTTGGCATTTTCTTGTAAAGTTGCAAGTGAAGTCCACCCCCAGCGCTCCCATTCGTAGGTGTAGCTCCAAGAGAAATTCTGGTGCGTGGCGCTCAGGAGCTGTGCACAAAGGACAAAGCCACCAATTGTGATGCAGAGGCAGACGTGATAGAATATTATTGCTCAGGTGTCAGAATGAATGCAGAACAGCTACCAAGAAGAGAAAGAATCTTAGTACAAAAAAGCAAGACCCAGAAGACAGCATGTAGCATAATACCCTTTGTCATAACATTTGAATACAAGAAAAACTAAGCAATATCTATAATTAAAATGCTTTAGGCAGCAGGGGAATCCCATGAATGGTCCCTGGAGAGGGAGGGGGAAGCTGGGGTCACTTAGTAGCCACTGTCTAGGTCTCGAGTTGAGAGTAGGTTTACCATAGTTCCATTATTTTACAACTAAATGAATAAATAAATGCCGTGCATGGGAAGAAAATAAAATGAATGCTATTGTGTAGCATCCACTCCCCTTTGAACCTCAGCTGAGGGCCTTAAGGCTGAGAGCCGGCTCAGGATGGGCCTCACCAGGGCCAGGGCACCTGGAGGGCAGGCAGCAGGCCAGACTCTGCTTGTCCCGAGGGGAAGGCGGGAAGCCCCCACACCTTACCTCATATTCCCTTCTTACATTCCCTCTGGGGACCCTGCAGATTGCTTTGAGAGTCCCACAGGAGTGAGAATTCTCAATGAAAGTCCTCCAGAAAGCCAGGGGGTGGCAAGGCTACTAATGAGCACCATAAAAGCCACCTGGCCATGAGGCAGGGGGACCCAGGGAGACCCGGAGTGCTTCTCCAGGCCCTGGCTGGGGAACTGCAGAGACGTGGAGGAGGCTGGAGGTAATAGCCTGGTCTTGAGGCAAAGGGCCTGGGGGTGCTAGGCAGGCAGATTTTCTGAGTGCCCCCAACACACACCGCCAAGCTGCTCAGCCCAGATAGCAGGGCTCCTGGGGCCCCAGCCCTGATGCCCTGGGTCCAGGCTGGCACCAACCCAGGTTCTGCAGACCCTTTGCAGGCCCAGCCTCTTCTGCCACATCACTGATGGTCTCATGTCCCCAGAGACTGGGGCACAGCCCTCCACCTGCTCTGTTCCCCCCTGCACCCCCGCTAGCCCTGAGCCCTCCTGCAGCCCCCCCCCACAGGGCTCTGTGCAGCACAGGTAAACGTAGGAGGAACAGGCTGAGAGTTTCCCAAGAATTCCACCTGCCTGCAGGAATCCCCTCCACCTCCAGAGGGGTTCTCTGGCCCTGCCAGTGAGGCGAGGGACTAAGGAGGCGTGGAAGCCCCGGAGGCCGGGCCTGCTGGCTGGGAACCTGGCTCTGCCCCAGCCTGCCACCTCCGACTGCCCACCTGTCCTTCAGACACCCAGCTCCTGTGTGTCCTGGCCCAAAAGTCCCAAACCACCCGCCCCCTTAAAGGCTCTGAGTGGACTGCTTCCACCATCTCCCAAAGGCCACTTTCAAGCTCAGAAAACACAGGATACAGACCTCAGGGTAGCTCAAGACAGGTCCACGTGGGGAAACCAAAGGTGGGGATGAACCTTCCCCGCCACCCCCAGCCCCAGGCCCACAAATCCGAGGCCCAGATTTCACTCACCCCTGGAGATCCAGCTAACCTTCTGATGGAAGTGGTGTCCTTCCTGAGGATGAGGGGCCCACATGGAGAAGGCCAGGGAAGTGCCTGGACACACAGCTAAGACAGCACACCAAGCATGCAGAACAGGCTTCTCCCCTGCGGTGTGCACACATGGACCTGTGTGTGAGTGTGCATGTACATGGGTGTGTGTGTCCCTGAACGTGTGCACAGGTCCATGCACCTAGGTGTGTGTGTGCGTGTGCATGCACCTGGCGGGGGGTGTGCAGGAGTGCACCTGGGTGTGTGCATGTGCCTGTGCCTGGGTGTGTGTGCACGGGCATGCACACTCCCGCATGTGGCTGTGTGTGCGGTGCTGGGGCAGGGAGCAGTGCACACCTGAGAGCTTCTATGTGAGAGTGGACGTGAGCGGTGTGCTTGTGCTCACTGGTGTGCAGGCAGGCCCCCCGCCAGGGCTTTGTTCAGGGCGAGGTGTGTGCTGGGTTAAGGATATGGGTGTCAGTGCTGCAGCAACTTTGAGAAGGGGTTATGGTCCTCCCACCCAGCTCTCAGGACCCAGTCTCCCGCCCAGCACACATCACACTTGCCTCTCTCCACTGTTCCAAGGAGCTCAGAAGTGACCCCCCTGCCAAGAGGGCTATGAGCAACTCCACGAAGACATCGGTGACAGAGTTCATCCTGCTGGGCTTCCCAGAGCTGTGCCACATGCAGGGGCTGCTGTTCGGGTCATTCCTCACCATCTACATGGTGACCACCCTGGAGAACCTGGTCATTGTGGGGACCATCAGAGCCAGCCGTCAACTGCACACGCCCATGTACTTCTTCCTGGCCAACCTGTCAGTGCTGGAGACCCTCTACACCTCAGTCACCATCCCCAAGCTGCTGGCTGGCCTCTTGGCCTCAGCAAGGACGATCTCCTTCTCAGGCTGCCTCACCCAACTCTTTGTCTTCCTCTCCCTTGGCTCCTCCGAGTGCTGCCTCCTGGCCACCATGGCCTATGACCGGTACCTGGCCATCTGTCGCCCCCTGCACTACCCAGCCATCATGGACTCGAGGCTCTGCCTGCGCCTGGCCCTCGGCGCCTGGCTGGGTGGCTTCCTGGCCTCCTGCGTGTCCACAGCTCTCATCTCCCGCCTCAGGTTCTGCGGCCCCAACGTCCTCAACCACTTTTTCTGTGACATCTCACCCCTGCTGCAGCTCTCCTGCTCTGACATCACCACCATCGAAGTGCTGGACTTCGTGGCAGCCCTAGCTGTGCTCGCCATCTCCCTGCTGGTGATCGTGATCTCCTACACCCACATCGTGGCCACGGTGCTGAGGATCCCAGGAAGGGCTGGCCGCCAGAAGGCCTTCTCCACCTGTGCTTCCCACCTGACCGTGGTGGCCCTCTTCTACAGCACCACCACCTTCATGTACGCCCGGCCTCAGGCCATCCGCTCCTTTGACCTCAACAAACTGGTGTCTGTAGTCTATTCCGTTGTGACCCCACTGCTCAACCCCATCATCTACTGCCTCCGGAACCGTGACATCCACGAGGCCCTGGGCAAACTCCACCGGGTTCCTGGCCTCTCCTAGCACCAGCAGCAGGAGAAGGAACTTCAAACCCTCCCCACCCTGTCATCTGCTCGCCGCCACCAGCCCACGCACCAGGTGGGCCCCGGCCCTCTCCCACAAGCACAGCCAGCGAGCTCCTCTCCTCCCCCCTCCCCCTGAGACACAGTAGCAGCCGCCAAACGCCAAAGGCGCCAGCTGCGGCTCTCAGGGAACTTCGGCACCAGAGTCGGGGACAGCTCCTCAGCCCAGGGTGAGCTGGGCTCGGCTCTCTGATGCATTTTAAAATTGCTCTCTGGTTCTTCTCGCAATTTCCCTCTTCTCCATCACATTCCCGGTCTTGTTTCTCTCCTTGCACGTGTACAGGTCCCTGCATTCTGTCCGTGACCTGCTTTCTACACTGGGCTGTCTTCTGTCTAGACTGCTTTGTCACCATGGTGTCCGCGAGCTTTTATCTGGCACGGTGAATCCCTCTTCTTTGAACTGCTTTTTCAAAATTTGTTTAAATTTGACTTTTATCCTTTTGTATGAGCCCCTGAGTTCCTTAGCTTGCTTGGGCTGCCATAACAAAGCACCACAGGGACGTCTCTGGCAGTCCAATGGTAGGCTCTGTGCTTCAATCCTTGGTTGGGGATCTAAGATTCCACAAGCTATAAGGCACAGGGAAAAAACTACCATGGACAGGCTGGCTTAGACACCAGAAATTCATTTTCTCACAATTCTGGAGCCTGGAATCTGAGATAAGGTGTCAGCAGGGTTGGTTTCCTCTGAGGCCCATGTCCATGGCTCATACCCAGCCATCCTCATGTTGTCATCCCCGGGTGCATGTCTGTGACCCAATCTCCTCTTATCTCCGCTTATAAAGACACAAGTTATGTTGGGTCAGGACCACCCTGATGACTTCATTTAACCTTTTCTCACCTTTATAAAGATCCATCTCCAAATATAATCACATTCTTAGGTGCTGGGGACAGGACTTCAAAATATGAACAGTGGGGCCACAGTTCAGTCAACAGTAGGTTCCTTTAAGAACAGCTAGATTCTTACTGGAATTGCACGGAGTTTAGGGGTGAGAGTGCAGGAGGCCTCTCTCTCTCCCTTGTTCATGCAGGTCTTCCTTTATGTTCCTTAATGATCTGCTTATTTTCGCCATAAAGATCCTTTGCATTCTGGGAGGTTTTTTATAGAGTGCTTTGTTACTGTGGATGGCATTTTATTTTCTACTATTTCTTGTTTTGGTAGAGACTTTCTGTTTTATCTGCCATCAGACACTCATGCGGCTGCAGTCATAAAATATGAAGGTAGCAATCTCTTGAACCAACGGGGCTAAGGATCCTGGACCCAGAACGCCCCTCCCCACCTTCCACCTACCCTCTGGCCTGCGTGTCCAGCCTGCAGTCCTCAGAGGGCAGCAGCAGCTCCCAGCAGCTCCCAGCACCAAGGCCACAGTCCCGAGTGGGGGAAGGGGAGGGGAGACGCGCAGGCTCTGCTGGCCCCTCCTTGGGGAGCAGAGCCCCGCCCAGCACCCTCAGAGCACACTCTGGTTCCCCAGCTCTGCCCAGTAGAGGATTCCCCAGTTCAAGGCATTGGGGGTGAGCGGTCAACCGCAGAGTCCACAGCTTCTTCAGGGCACGGCTGTCTCCTGGGCTCAGGCCTGTGATCAACAGAAGTGGTGAAGGTAGGAAGCGTTCCTTGCTCATATTTTTTGACAAAACATATTTAAAGGCTCTCCACTAAATATGAAATCTGCTGAGGGTTTATCTGAAATACAGCTTTAATCAAGTTTAAAAAGTCATTTCTATGGCTAGCTTTCTTGGCCTTTTTCCCCACAAATGAATGTTGATGGAAATCAAATCAAATCACATAACAACATGCAAGTGTATCAAATCAACGTGTTGGACATCTTAAATTTACAAAATGTTACATGTCAGTTCCACTCAGTTCAATCACTCAGTCATGTCTGACTCTTTACGACCCCATGAACCGCAGCACGCCAGGCTTCCCTGTCCATCACCAACTTCCGGAGTCCACCCAAACCCATGTCCACTGAGTCGGTGATGCCATCCAACCATCTTATCCTCTGTTGTCCCCTTCTCCTCCTGCCCTCAATCTTTCCCAGCATCAGGGTCTTTTCCAATGAGTCAGATCTTTGCATTAGGTGGCCAAAGTATTGGAGTTTCAGCTTCAACATCAGTCCTTCCAATGAACACCCAGGACTGATCTCCTTTAGGATGGACTGGTTGGATCTCCTTGCAGTCCAAGGGACTCTCAAGAGTCTTCTCCAACACCACAGTTCAAAAGCATCAATT